GAACATCAACCTAAATTTCAATGCCCTGGGGTAGGATCTTTAAACCATGGGTAAGAGGAGCATAACTCTGCCTAGGAAAGGAACTGGGCAGTAACCTGAAGAGGGACAATAGTGACCTCAAAGAGACTGCTGTCACCTAAAACAGCAATGGCCAGTATAATTTTCAAACCAGGCCATGTCCTGTGACAATCAGGTGTGGCAGCCACATGTCCATCCACAATCTCTCAAAGCAGCTTCTTTTTTTTTTTTTTTTTTTTGAGACAAAGTCTTACTCTGTCACCCAGGCTGGATGGTGCAGTGGCACAGTCTCCACTCACCGCAACCTCTGCCTCCTGGGTTCAAGCAAGTCTCCTGCCTCAGCCTCCCAAGTAGCTGAGACTACAGGCGCACACCACCACATCCAGCTAATTTTTGTATTTTTGGTAGGGACAGGGTTTCAGCATTTTGGCCAGGATGGTCTCAATCTCTTGACCTTATGATCTGCCCGCCTCAGCCTCCCAAAGTACTGGGATTATAGGTGTGAGCCACCGCACCTGGCCTCAAAGCAGCTTCTTAATGAAGGATCTCAATTAAAATGCATTTTAAAAGCACACAGTATTTGTTGGAATGATAAGAAAAAACAAGTTTTCTTTCTGGGCAATACTCAAATAAGTGATGTAACTAACCACCTGGCTTTTTTTTAACCCCCCAGAAAAGCATTTTTGAGCAAAGACAATTTCTAGACAAGCTATGCCCATGGTCCATTACCTGCACTGGAACTCAACAGATTCACCCATGCTACCAAATGCCACCAAGACTTTTATGCAAAGAGAGTTTTACCTGTGAAAAGTTCAACCCATTCAATGGATGGCACTGCTCTTCCACCTTTTCCACTGCCCCAGTCTGTTTCTTCAGCCTCTCAGCCTCCTGGGCAAGGAACAAGTCTAAGACAGGCACCCCACGGGACTTAATGTCCACTTCAGTCAGGGAGTTGACCATGAGCATCACCCAGACAGGCCTCTTGCGCTCCCAGTTCCCAGCAATGGCATTGAAGAGGTAGTCTGCGTAGAGCCCCTTGCCGCGCTGGTCTGGGGTCATCCACGAGGGCATCATGAGCTTGACATATTCCAGGTGGCGCTTGAGGCGACAGTAGATGTCCCTGGGGAGCACGTCTTGGAGGTTCTCGCCCTGCGGCAGCATCTGACAGCTGGTGAGAGCTGAGATAGTATAGGGGTCTGTGAGGTCCAACTCAAAGTACACAATGCTGCTCTGCAGGAAAGCCTCCTTAGAGTTGTCGGGGATGAAGTCCCAGACCCGAGTGTACGGGACATGGATCGTGCCAAAGAAGTAAGATGGCGGGTCTCGCTTAATGGTCCACAAAAAAGAATTCAACTCACTTTGCTAAAAAAAAAAAAAAGAGGCAACATAAAGGTATAATATGGGGGGAGGGGTGGTCAGGAACCTGTGAGAGGAAATGAATTAGTCACATTTCAAGAGAAAAGATATCAGAATAGGATTTAGACTTTTGAGTTCACGTAGATTCACCTGCCAGGACAATCCATGTCCTAAATAGACAGGAGCAAACTGTTAAATCAGGGGCTCATTAGGACTCCAGTTTCAACCTTGGCTATACGTTGGGATCACCAGGGGAGCCTTAAAAGTAGCATATCTGGGCCCTACCTCCAAAGATTCTGATCTGATTGGTCTGGGGTGAGACCCACCTTTTCAATCAAAAAAGGGGGTGAGAACACCCCCTTTTCAATTAAAATGTTGATTCCAAGATGAGAAAGCAATAGCAGTCACCAGTTTTGAGTTTCTGCCATGCCTGCCCTAGCAACTGGGCAAGAGTTAAAGAAGTGAGTCTCAGGGGCCTGAAGGACATACCCGGTACCAGCCAAGAGACACCTGAGAAGTCCATTGTCTCTCAGGGAGACCTCATGGTCCCTGCTTTTTCAGATCTCAAAACCAGCATCCGAAACTCTGGCTACACACGGGAATCACCTGCAAAGCTTTCACAAGTCCAGTCCCTGGGTCCCACCCTAGAACAATCACATCAGAATCGCTGGAGGTGGGGCTCAGAGATGCTACCTTTTTCTGGGCAGGGGATGGGGGGAATGTAGTCTCGTCCTGTGTCCAGGCTGGAGTGCAGTGGCGCAATCTAGGCTCACTTCACTGCAACATCTGCCTCCCAGGTTCAAATGATTCTCCTGCCTCAGCCTTCCAAGTAGCTAGGACTACAAGCACTGTCCCCCACCACACCCAGCTAATTTTTGTATTTTTAGTAGAGACAGGGTTTCACCGTATTGGCCAGGCTGGTCTCAAACTCCTGATCTTGTGATCCGCCCGCCTTGGCCTCCCAAAGTGCTGGGATTACAGGCATGAGCCACTGCGTCGGTCACAGAGATGCTACTTTTAAAGCTCCCCTGGTGATCCCAACATACAGTCAAGGTTGAAACTAGAGCCCTAACAAGCCGCTGACTTCACAGTTTGCTCCCGTCCCTTTAGGACATGGATCATCCTATCACATTTCTTTCTCTCACAAAGCCTTCAGGTTCAATTGCAGAGATCTGGACGGTCTCTGCTGGATGAATTCTCTCTAAGCAGTTGCACATGCTGAGCAGTGGTGCATGTCCATCTGAGGCCAGGCCATTTCACTCCCAGCCCCTGAGTACCTCTCAGCCTCAACTGGCATTTATAATGTATCTGTTTATTAAAAGGCACTGTACAAAGAAGTGCACGGGGCAGCTCTCAAGGAATTGGGGTGTAAATGGCAGGCAAACTAGTGATAAGAACAGTTTATCAAGAAGGCTGGAAATGTAAAAATCCAGGTTTATAAAAATATATATATTTTGGCCAAGCATGGTGACTCACACCTGTAATCCCAGTGCTTTGAGAGGCTGAGGCCGGCAGATCACTTGAGCTCAGGAGGTCAGCCTGGGCAACACGGCAAAACCCTGTCCCCACAAAAAAAATACCAAAATGAATTGGGCGTGGTGGTGCACGCCTGTAGCCCCAGCTACTCGGGAGGCTGAGGTGGGAGGACTGCTTGAGTCCAGGAGACTACACCACTGTGCTTTGGCCTGAGCTAGAGTAAGACCTGTCTCAGAAAAAGAGAGAGAGAGAGAGAGAGAGAGAGAGGAGAGAGAGAAGGGAGGGAGAAAGGGAGGGAGGGAGAGAGAAAGGGAGAAAGAAATATTTGGAACATACTCCCTTTACCAAAGGGTTTGACTTCAGTCTTTTAAGTAACGTGCTTCCCTGGATTATGAAGTTTCAATCTACCATCAATTATTATTCATGGTAGTTATATTTTGTTAAGTTGCCACAAACACAAGATGAGCAAATATTAAACTGTCCTTCCTAGCGGAAACAGGGTTAAGTTCCTAGCGGAAACATAGGGTTAAGTAAGCCTCTGCTTGCAACATTTTCATCAACTGATCAATACGTAGCCTTGTTTTATGTGTGCTTCTACTGAAAGGCCCCTTATTGGCCAGGCACGGTGGCTCACCCCTGTAATTCCAGCACTTTAGAAGGTGGGGTGGGGAGGCAGTTCACCTGAGGTCAGGAGTTCGAGACCAGCCTGGCTAACATGGCAAAACCTCTTCTCTACTAAAAATACAAAAATTATCTGAGTATGGTGGTAGACGTCTGCAATCCCAGCTACTCAAGGAGGCTGAGGCAGGAGAATCACTTGAACCCAGGAGGCAGAGGTTGCAGTGAGCCAAGATGGCACCATTGTACTCCAGTCCAGCAACAAGAGTGAGACTCCATCAAGAAAGAAAGAGAGAGGGAGAGAGAGAAGAGAACGGCACCTTATTTAATATATAATGTTCATTCATTAACACTGAACTCACAGCTGAAAGCACTATAAGTCATGCCTGAACTAAACATATTTAACACATGTGTTTTCTTTGTAAAGCACATCATAGCCTTCTTGCACTTAAGCACACTAGACAACTTCAGCACTACGCTGGGGGCCATTTTAAACAGTAAAATCATCTACCAAAGGCTTACCCCTGTTACTCTTGCACTGTAGGAGGCCAAGGCAGAAGGATTGCTTGGGCCCAGGAGTTCAACAGCAGCCTAGGCAACATAGTGAGACCGTGTCTCTATTAGCAAATAAAATTAATTTTTAAGTATAAAATCTTAAATAAAAAAACAGATAAATAAAATCTTTCAATTTGTAAATGTTGCCTCAATTTTCATAACTGTAAATAGAATACATCTCACTAGCCCCAAACCTGTGACTTTGGTTTTGTTTTTTGTTTTTTGAGGTGGAGTCTCACTCTGTCCTCGCCAGGCTGGAGTGTAGTGGCATGATTTCAGCTCACTGCAACCTCTGTACTGGGTTCAAGTGATTCTTCTGCATCAGCCTTCCAAGCAGCTGAGATACAGGCATGCCCCACCACACCCTGCTAATTTTTGTATTTTTGTAGAGACTGGGTTTCACTATGTTGGTGAGGCTGGTCTCGAACTCCTGACCTCAAGTAATCTGCCCAAGGTCTCCCAAAATGCTGGCATCACAGATGAGTAACTGCATCTGGCCTGATCTTGTTTTTTAAGGCATTTAAGTTGCAGTTACATAACCTTTTCTTTTTTTCTTTTTTCTTTTGAGACAGTTTCACTCTTATTGCCCAGGCTTGGAGTGCAATGATGCGATCTCAGGTCACTGCAATCTCCACCTCCCGGGTTCAAGCAATTCAGCCTACCAAGTAGCTGGGATTACAGGTGCCCACCACAACGCCCAACTAATTTTTTGTATTTTTAGTAGAGATGGGGTTTCATCATGTTGGCCAGGCTGGCCTCGAACTCTCAACCTCAGGTGATCCGCCCGCCTTGGCCTCCCAAAACACTGGGGTTACAGGTGTGAGCCACCACACCTGGTCATACCCTCCTTTTCAATAATTCAATAATAGGGCAAAATAAACCTAAAATCTGCTTGTGGCCCAGCTACCCCACTGAGATTTTTAATTTATTTTATTTTATTTTATTTTTTGAGACTGAGTTTTGCTCTTGTCACCCAGGTTGGAGTGCAATGGTGTGATCTCGGCTCACTGCAACCTCCACCTCCCAGGTTCAAGTGATTCTCCTGCTTCAACCTCCAGAGTAGCTGGGATTACAGGTGCCTACCACTACGCCGAGCTAATTATTGTATTTTTAGTAGAGACAGGGTTTCACCATGTTGACCAGGCTGGTCTCAACTCCTGACATCAAGTGATCCACCCACCACAGCCTCCCAAAGTGCTGGGATTACAGATGTGAGCCACCACACCCAGCCCCCCACTGAGTTTTTTTTTAAAGCCACTTCCTTTCTCTTTTTAAGATGGAGTTTCGCTCTGTCGCCAGTCTCCCAAGTAGCTGGGATTACAGGTGCATGCCACCATGCCCAGCTAATTTTTTTGTATTTTTAATAGAGATGGTGTTTCACAATGTTGGCCAGGCTGGTCTTGAACTGCTGACCTCAGGTGATCCGCCTGCTTTAGCCTCTCAAAGTGCTGGAATTACGGGCGTGAGCCATGGCGCCCAGCCAGTTTCTGCATTTGTAAAAGTTAAATTAATAAGCCCTGTCATAAACTTATGGTAATACACAAATTAGACAAGTAATTGTTAAATAAAAGAACAAATAAAAAAATATATTTTTTTGAAAAGCAATTTTAGGCCGGGTGCCATGGCTGATGCCTGTAAACACTTTGAGTGGCCAAGGTGAGCGATCATTTGCGGTCAGGAGTTCGAGATCAGCCTGTGCAACATGGTGAAACTCCAGCTATACTAAAAATACAAAAATTAGTCAGGCGTGGTGGTGCACACCTGTAGTCCCAGCTACTTTGGTGGGGAGGCTGAGGCAGGAAGATCACTTGAACCCAGAGGCAGAGGTTATAGTGAGCTGAGATCATGCCACTACACTCCAGCCTGAGCAACAGAGCAAGACACTGTTTCAAAAAAAGAAAAAAAAATTTTTAACTATTGATTGTTGAAGTAATATTAAGAGATGAACCTCGTACAGGGTCCCCAACCCCTAGGCATCCTCTTATTCAGCAATGAGGGTCCCTGGGGCTATTTAAATACTTCAAAAATGAAATGGAAACTGTACATCTACCAAGAAAGCCTGCTAAGGCAAGTTAAGCAATCAAATGTCTCACTGTTGCTTAGAATTAGATCAACAGGGTAGAAGACACTGGTCAACTATAATATATGCTAATGAAAAGCTGACAGTAACAGTTATGTCTTTGGTTAATTGTAAACGGGTAACAATTATTACCTACAAATAGGTAGAGGCAGACTTCAAAGATTAATTTTCGTTTGATTTGTTTCTTCATTTAGAGGTCTGGCTGGTGAAATGTCTGGGGCCACTGACCTACATAAGAGACCTAATTGCACAGCTTCCAGGCAGTCTACCCAAGAACTTCTACATGGTTTCCAACTGGGAGACACAGCAAGCAAACTGGAATGTTATTATTAAACCCATGGGCATCCGATTCATTGTCATCTATCAGGACACCATCATGTCAAACAGATATATTCCCAGAAAAACGAAACCCATACCACAGGATAATGGAGGGATGGGGTTCGTTTTGGTTCAGTTTTGGTTTGTTTTTATCCAAACACACTTAATCTGCCTCAGGCCCCCGTACAACCTCAAAATCCCTGCATTTCCCTTCAGAAGCAGTCTGTTCAATATGCATCCCTTTTCATTTTATTATTTATTTATTGTTGCCTTTTCAACTATTGCTTGTCTAGAAATAAGGTCACTGTATGATCTTTTCACTGAAAATACTTAGATTTAAAACACATACACACACACATACACACACACACACACACACACACGTCTGGCCTCTAGCCATGTCATGACAGTACTAATGCTAAGAGCAGCTATTCACTGTGTGCCAGGCTCCACCCAAGCATTTCGCATGGACTGTCCCACTGCCTGCATTCAACACAATTACTTCTGCTGAGCCTACCACGTGCCAGACACTGTTCCAGGCAGCGGGAATACAGCAGTGAGTGACACCCAGGTCCCTGTTGGTGCTAATTGCTGTGGAGAACATATAAGCCGGCTTTGAGTCTTTCAGCTTGGAGGAGGCTAAGGTATAACTTTCTGCAGTTGTCCCAAATCTGGGTTCATCTGACACCAGCCACCTCCGCCATGCCGCCTAAGCTGGACCCCAACGAGAGCAAAGTCGTATACCTGAGTTGCACCGGCAGTAAAGTCACTGCCATGTCTGTGCTGGCCCCGAAGATCGGCCCCCCTGGATCTGTCTCCAAATAAGGTTGGTGATCACATTTCCAAGGCAACTGGTGACTGGAGGGGTCTGAGGATTACAGTGAAACTGACCATTCAGAACAGACCCAGATTGAGGTGATGCCTTCTGCCTCTGCCCTGATCATCAAAGCCCTCAAGGAACCGCCAAGAGACAGAAACAGGAAAACATTAAACACAGTGGAAGTATCACTTTCAATGAGGTTGTCAACATTGCTCAACAGATGCAGCACTGATCTTTAGCCAGAGAACTCTCTGGAACTATTAAAGAGATCCTGGGGACTGCCCAGTTTGTGAGCTGTAATGTTGATGGCCTCATGACATCATAGATGACATCAAACATCACGCAGTGGAATGCCCAGCTAGTTAAGAAGCACAAAGGAAAACATTTCAGTAAAGGATCATTTGACAACTAAAACCAAAACAAGAACAAGTAACCCAGAAAAGGGACAGTGAGTACTGTGGCACAGGGTTGCAGGGGTGATTTTAAGTAGGAGGACCAGAAAAGTCACTGAATGTCTGGAAAGACAGCTAAGCCTTGCCATGAAGGAAACGAGGGGCCCACCATGGGGATATCTGAGAGAAGACCATTTCCTCCAGGAGGCAGAAACAGCAGTGCAAAGGCCCTGAGGCAGAGAGGGCCTCCATGTATTGGAATAACAGCAAGGAGGCCAGCACAACTGAGAGGGATGGCTGAAGAGGAAAGCAGGAGGCAGAGGTCAGAGAGGTGAGCAAGGCCAAACCATGCAGGATCAGTGGGGCCCTGGAAAGGCCCCTAGAAGGGCTCAGGCTTTCAACTGAGTAGGATGGGAGCTAGCCCAGGTTTTTGAGAGAGGAGTGACATCAGCTGACAGCGTGTTGCAAGGATCGCCCTGGAGACTGGGATGAATAGAAGGATGGAGGCAGACACAAGTAGGTCATTTAGGACATTACCAAAATAATCAAAATTAACAAAATAATCCTGGAGTGACAGGATTGATGGGAACTGATTAAATTCTGGATGTACTCTAGAAAACAGGATTTGCTGGCCAGCATGGTGTCTCATGCCTGTAATCCCAACACTTTGGGAAGCCGAGGAAGGAGGATTGCTTGAGCCCAAAATTTTGAGACCAGCCTGGACAACAAAGCAAGACTCTGTCTCTATAAACATTTAAAAATTAGCCAGGCATGGTGGCAGGCACCTCTGGCCCGAGCTACTCAGGTGGCTGAGGTAAGAGGATGGCTTGAGCCTGGGACGGTAAGGCTGCTGTAACCTATGATCTCACCACTGCACTTCAGCTTGGGCAACAGAGTGAGACCCTATCTCAAAATTTAAAAAAAGAAGAAGAAGAAGAAAATAGGACTTGCTGATGAAAGGATGAGGTTACCATTAACAGATATGGAGAAGGACAGGAGTGAAAGAGGGTTACGGGGGAAGGTCAGAAATTTGGTTTTGGACCTGTCCAGTTGAGATGTCAAACACACAACCTAGTGCCAAGGTCCATCTGGTAGCTGGGGAGAGGCCTGGGCCAGAGATGAAGATGAGGGCAGCATTACCGCGTAAGGTCTCCAAGAGAATACCCGCAGGAGAAAAGGTCTAGGAATGGACCCAGGGCCCTCTCACCCTAAGAAGTCTGGAGAAAGAAGAGCAGCTAGCAAGGGAGAAGAAGTGGCCAGCAAGGTTGCCAAGAAAATCAGAAGAGTAGGAGGCTGTTTGAAGAAAGTGCTTCAGGGAGCACAAAGTAAGCAAGTGGGTTAAATGTGGATGGTAGTCCAAATAAATCAGGAATTTCAGAACTGACCTCTGGATTGAGCAACGTTGAGGTCACTAGGGACCTAGACAAGAAGAGTTTTAGTGGTATGGTGGGAGCAAAAATATGTCCTGTGCTAAGGTGGTGGACTGGTAGGCTGGCTCCTGAGTCTTGGCTTTTAAACACCATATTTATGCAGCCTTAACATGCAATAGACTTTACTTGTGATTCAGGGTAATCTTTTTTCACTTAATACCCTGCTAGTTATATTGTTGCTCAGGAGCGCCACCTGACTCTGAATCTAGAAAGGCTCTGTCCAGCTTGCCTTCCCGATCCCAGGTGATTGCCCAGATTGATACCACATGGACCTTGTTACATCCTCAGGTGCCACCTTTCCCATCTTCTCTTCACAGGTTAACACAATTCAGGGGCTTTTCTGCTTTTTTATGCCAAGGACCATACCTTATTCACCTTCATATTCCCAAATACTGAAATACTTGCCATATACTACTACATAGGAGCTCAAAAAGAGTTTTTTAAAGAAATGAATCTTATATAGAATTTCATCAATGCATACAGTTCTGTTCTGACCCTGATTCCCACTGTATGCACCAGTAACCATTCCTGCAGAGTACTGATCCTGCCCTAGCAGGCGTGCCCTTGGCGCAATAGGCTGAAAGAAGAGTCGTCAGGGCTTCTCATCAGGAAGCTCTTATCTTACCTTGCCCACTGGCGAGCCCCCGGACCTTTGCACTTACTGTACTAGTGCAACTGCCTCTGCCTCTCTCACACTGATGTCCTCAGGGTAGGACTATTTGTCTCCACAAAACAAAACAAAAAAACAAAAAACTCTACTACCCTATTTCACTGTTAAAGTATATGGCAGTTAGAAGAATCCATAGATTTCAACATTAGGATGACTGAAAGGAAAAAAAAAAAACTGAACCTCCCCAAAGGATTATAAATCATTCTGCTATAAAGACGCATGCACACATGTGTTTATTATGACACTGTTCACAATAGCAAAGACTTTGGAACCAACCCAAATGTCCATCAATGACAGACTGGATAAAGAAAATGTGGCACATATACACCATGGAATACTATGCAGCCATAAAAAAGGATGAGTTCATGTCCTTTGCAGGGACATGGATGAAGCTGGAAACCATTATTCTCAGCAAACTAACATAAGAACAGAAAACCAAACACCACATGTTCTCACTCATAAGTGGGAGTTGAACGATGAAAAGACATGGACACAGGGAGGGGAATATCACATACCGGGACCTGTAGCGGGGTGGGAGGCTAGGGAAGGGATAGCATTAGGAGAAATACCTAATGTAGATGACTTGTTGATGAGTGCAGTAAACCACCATGGTACATGTATACCTATATAACAAACCTGCACATTCTGCACATGTACCCCAGAAATTAAAGTATAATGATAATAATAAAACTGAACCACTATTAACATGTCCCTTCTAACTTGTTGCAACTGTTCCCAGAAGGAAAAGACAGCCAGGCATGATGGCTCATGCCTGTAATCCAAAGACTTTGGGAGGCTGAGGCAGGAGGACCATTTGAGGCCTGGAGTTCAAGGTTAGAGTGAGCTATGATCACGACACTGCACTCTACCCTGGGTGACCAAGTAGGACTCTGTCTCAAAAAAGAAAAAAAAAGATAAAACATGGCCATGGGTGACTGAAACACAGAATCTACAATCTTCTGAATTAAACTGAGATTTTAACAGACACCTGTGTAGTCCATGCAAAGAAAAAGAACAAGGCACACTGACAAGTGCATACTGCAAGCTAACTCCCAACACCCAGCACCTCCTCAGCGCCTTCCATCCTAGCATCCTAGCAATAACTGCACTTTTCCAGCCAGAATGAAGCTGGCTTTACGTTATCCTTTTCATTCAACAAATATTTATTGAGCATCTATTATGGCCAGCCACATTTCTGAATACTGGGGATGCAGAGGCAAACAAAAGCAACAAAAAATCCCTACCCTTACGAAGGTGACATAGGGGAAGGGGTAGCAATAAACAAAACTTTTTGTCAGAAGGTGATTAAGTGCTCCAGAGAAAAATAAAGCAGGGAAGGCAGATGGCAGTGGTGGCAGAGGTTGACATCACCTTTGCTGGAGTAATCAGGAAGAAGCCCATTGAGAGACACTTGAGCCAAAGCCAGATGGAAGTAAGGGAGCAAGCCTGTGAATAAATGGGGGGAGAACTTTCCAGGGGGAAGAAAGAGCAAGTATAAAAGGCATCAGGCAGGAATAGCAAAGAACACTAAGAGTTCTGTTTGATAAGAAAGAAACTCAACCTGCGTGGTGCTCGGGATAACGCTGCAGTGTCTAGGGGCCAATTTGGGCTCAAAGACCTCTTAATGATTAACCAACCATGAAAACCAAACCAGCTCTCAAGCCTGCAATCCTGCAGAATCCTAGAGGGGCTGTGGCACTGGATTGGAGGCTGGATCCCAGGGCTCCCACTCTGCAATCTCAAGACCCCAACCC